AGCATAATGGCTATGTCGCTGGACTCCCATGTAGTCGACCGTGGCTTGAGTCCCAGACCCGGTGGCTTAAACTCATGCCAGGTGCATGTGCATGTGTGCCCAAGATCCTGAGAGGAGAATAGAGGAGAAGGGGTTGCGGCGTGGCCATTCCCCCTGGGGGGGTGGTGATTTCTCGCTTTCTGTCTCTCTGTCTCTCTCTGTCTGGTGAACGCATGTGCCCTATAGCAAAAAAGTCTCCAAATAAATAAATAAATAAAATGTATTTAGTACCTATCCTTAATTCTTTCACATCAATCTTCCTATCTCCTACCTCTCACATTCTCTATTGTGACTTAACTATTATTGACTGGATTACATCTTGGGAATGTCTTTAGGAAGAGTATATTGGGGTCTTATTTCCTGATACTATGCATGCTTGATAATATCTCTCAGTTGCCTTTAAAACTGAATAACCTGACTCTATAGAATTCTTTTATTGTATCTAGAATAGATCTCAGTATATTTGGGACTTAGGATGTGATGATGATCATGATTATAGTAGACAGTCATTTAAAGCTTGTCTTCCAGACATGAGTTCACATAATCCTATATACAACTCTTGTACTATTATTTTCAGTTTATTTGCCAAAGGTCATCAAATTAATAAGTGGTGAGGTTGAAACTGCAACTTTTGTGTTACTCCAAAGTCCATACTCTTAACTTCCTATATTACCATTCAAGTTAATTAACCTAGAATGTTTAGCTGTGAGGCCTTGAGCACGTTATTTAACATGTATATGCCTCAATTAATGCTCTATAAAATGGAATAGTAATACCTCCCAAGGTAGTTGTAATGATTACATGAGTTAATAGATGCAAATAGCTTATAACATACCTGGTACATATTAAGTGCTTACTAACTGTTGTTATTATTATTATTTATGGATAGTAAGTTACAGATCCAAGTTTGAACAAAATGTTTGGTAGTTGTTCTCTGTCAACTATTAAGACAGTGTTTTAGGAACCAGCAGGTGGTGTAATAGTTGCATTGCTGGACCCCTACGTGGTCAACCATGGTTCAAGTCCCAGACCTAGCAGCTTAAAATGCACACCCGGCATGTGTGCATGTGTGCCCAAAATCCTGAGAGGAGAATGAAGGATAAGGTGATTGCAGTGCAACCATTCCCTCTGCAGGGTGATTTCTCACTTTCTGTCTCCCAGTCTGTCTCTCTGGCTAGTGCATGTGCCCTATTGGAAAAAAAAAAAGACAGTGTTTTAGTGGGGAAAAGATGGATTATTTGATAAATAATGTTCAGTAGCATAGGGACATAGTAGACACTCATTAATACTTAAATGAATGGGATTTATTAATAACTAGATATTAAGTACTCTCCAGTTCTGTACAGACAGAATGGAGGTATTTTAGGATGTTCCTGCTGCTATAACAGAACTACCTCAGATGAAGTGATTTATAAGTAACAGAATTTTTTTTTCACAGTTCTAGAGGCTGGGAAGTCCATGATCAAAGTGCCACAGGTTTGGTGTTTGGTAAGGGTTTGCTCTGTGTTTCCAAGATGGCACCTCTTAGTGCATCCTCACATGGTCGAAAGAGAGAAAAAAGACTTATTCCCTCAAGCCCTTCATTAAGGACACTGTTTCTATCTATGAGGGCTGTCCTCATGGCCTGATCACCTCATAAAGGCTTCATATTTTGATACTGTTGCATTGGGGGTTAAGTTTTAACGTGAATTTTGGAGGGACACAAACGTTCAAACTGTAGCAAGAAGAAAACATGAAAATAGCTGCATGGTAATGAAATTATAGGTGACTTTATGTTTTGAATGTCCTTACTTTGTTATAAAATTTCCTTATTTGACCAGATAACCTCTAAATTCTATTTCATATATATTGAGTTTAAGATACCTAGAAAGAGATGATTGGAAGGTCAGAGCCCAGGATGAGATTCTGGATGCACTGGAAGATAATGAGAGTACCAATAAGGGGTGAACAGTAGAATACACATATAAAGAATAGGCAAAGGAGGGACTAGCAGTTAGCATAATGGCTATGTCACTGGACTCCCATGTAGTCGACCACAGTTCAAGTCCCGGACCCAGTGGCTTAAACTCACACTGGGCGCGGGTGCGTGCGTGCCCAAGATCCCGAGAGGAGAATGGAGAAGAGACTGTGGCATAGCCATCCCCCCTGGATGGTGATTTCTCGCTTTCTGTCTCTCTCTCTCTGTCTTTCTGGTGAGTGCACACACCCTATAGCAAAAACATCTCCATACAAAGAAAAAAAAAAAAAAGAAGAATAGGCTAAGGAAGGGAAACTGGCAAAGACAAGTTAAAAGGAACTCTTGGAAAGATAGGTGAAAAATAAGGAGGGAGTCACCCAAACCGTGAAGCAACAGGATAGTTAGGGAGAGAAATCACTAGAGACAAATGATTCATAAGATAAAGAAAGAATGTTGGGACCAGCAGTTAGTGTAATGACTATGTCACTGGACTCCCATGTAGTCGACCGCGGTTCGAGTCCTGGACCCGGTGGCTTAAACTCACGCCGGGCGCATGTGCGTGCGTGCCCAAGATCCCGAGAGGAGAATGGAGGAGAAGGGATTGCAGCATGGCCATTCCCTCTGGGGGGTGATTTCTCACTTTCTGTCTCTCTGTCTCTCTCTGTCTGTCTGGCGAGCGCACACACCCTATAGCAAAAAAATCTCTCCAAAAAAAAAAAAAGAAAAAATGTTGCAGCATTTAATAAAGTAAAGTTTGATGATATTAAATCATGTTCTTAAATAAACACGACTATGCTATACATCATTTTAATGTGCATTTCTCTATTTTTGGTCAATGCCTTATCACATGCTCTTTATTGTATATGTATTTTAGACTGTGGAAATGATGTTAAGTAAGCAAATTCAAGCAATTTTCTTATTCAAGTTCAAAGTGGGCTGTAATGCAGTGGAAACAACCAAGACCATCACCAACACAGTTGGCCCAGGAACTGCTAATGAATATACAGCGCAGTGGCAATTCAAGAAGTTTTGCAAAAGAATCAAAGCCTTGAAGGTTAACAGCATAGTGGCTGGCCGTTGAAAATTGATGATGACCAATTGAGAGCAATTATCAAAGCTGATCCTCTCACAACGACACAAGAAGTGATGTCGACCATTCTAAAATCATTAGGTATCTGAGGCAAATTGGAAAGGTGAAAAAAAAGCTCGATGAATTGGTGCCTCATGAGCTGACCAAAAATAAAAAATATCATCTCGTTGAAGTGTTTTCTTCTCTAATTCTATACAACAGTGAACCATTTCTCAATTGGATTGTGATGTGTGACAAGAAGTGGATCTTATATGATGGCTCAGTGGTTGGACCAAGAAGCAGCTCCAAAGCACTTCCACCAAAGCAAGGTCATGGTCACCGTTTGGTGGTGTCTAATCATCTACAGTTTTTGGAATCCCTCCAAAATTGTTACATCTGAGAAGTATACTCAGCAAATCTATGAGATTCACCAAAAACTGCAATGCCTGCAGCCCAGCACTGGTCAAACAGAAAGTGCGCAATTCTTCACAACAATGCCTTTCTACATGTTGCACAACAAACAATTCAGAAGTTGAACACATTGGCCTATGAAGTCTTGTTTCATCTGTCATATTCACCAAATCTCTAGTCAATGGACTACAACTTTTTCAAGCATCTCAACAACTTTTTGGGAACAATGTTTCCACAACCAGCAGGATGAAGAAGATGGTTTCCAAGTGTTGAATCCCAAAGCATGGAATTTAATACTAGGAATAAACAAACATTTCTGATTGGCAAAAATGTATTTATTGCAATGGTTCCTATTCTGATTAATAAAGATGTGTTTGAGTCTAGCTATACTGATTTAAAATTCATGGTCCAAAACCACAATTGCTTTTGCACCAACCTAATAAAATTATTCTCTCCTCTCTTTCATTGGATATTTGTCTCTATTTAAAATTTTTCTCCCATTGAGAATGGAGAAGAAGGGACTGCAATGTGACCATCCCCCCGGGTGTGTGATTTACTCTCTGTCTTTCTGTGTCTCTGTCTCTCCAGTGAGCACATGTACCCTATAGCAAAAATCTCTCAGAAAAAATTGTCTTCCCATTATCATTATTTCTATTCCTAGTGTTTTAAAATTTATAATAACAATAAATGAAGCATTAAAGTTAGAACAATCTGTGGCTTTTTTTTAAATTTTGTACATGCTATTTACAAGATCTTTAAGAGTGAACTAGTTCCACGATTTTGCAAATACTGTTAAGCAAATACATTTTCTAAAAGGTTTATTCCAGACACCTCTTTTAAAAAAAAAATGCCAGAGGGTATGTATGCTCATTGGAGAGAGGGAAAGTGAGAAAGGACCCTCCATGGGAATAATCATGCTGCAATCCCTTCTCCCCGCTTTCTCCTTCCTTTGGGGACTTGGGGCATGCACACACAACACACACACACCAAGCAAGTATTTGAAAGCTTCTGGCCTAGGACTCAAACCATGAGATCAGCTTGTAGGATCCAGCTTCCTTAACCACCACACCACTGGTGGTCCCCCCGAGACCTCTTTAATTCTCTAGTATGTATCTGTTTTCTTGAAGGCTTAGAAGTCAGAACAAAAATGTTTTATTAGAGCTTGAAAACTATGCAACTAACGGTAATCATCAATCTACATTCTAATCTTCAAATGATAGAAAGGGTCGAAGGGCAATCTGGTGCGGATACCATTAAGAAGATGCACAGAAATTTGGTATAAAAGATTTTAAAGAGAGCCCTGGAGTTGGTTTTTAAGCTGTGTTCACCTCACTTAGGCTTCTGAAGGCACGGGTAATGTACGGACCAGGTTTGATATATCACAGCATTCAGTGTACCGAGCAGGCATGTCAGAGAGTCATCAACTTAACGGATGTGTGCCTGTCCTCTCTTTCACTTGTCATTGCATAGAATTTCTGTAGTCTTAGGCATTATAAGTAAATTTTACTTTTATTTTTTTTTCAGGTCAGCATAACTATTTATGTGCTGGAAGAAATGACTGTATTGTTGATAAAATTCGCAGAAAAAACTGCCCAGCATGTCGCCTTAGAAAGTGCTGTCAGGCTGGCATGGTCCTTGGAGGTAATTCTGATGTTTTTTATCAGTAATGTACTGTCTAACATTTATACAGCAAAACTGTGTGTCCCCAAATTCTTTTTTTAATTTTATCTTTCTTCTTGCTTTTTTTTTTCAGTTTTGATTTTTGGTGATAACCCTCTATATTTGAGTTTTGAATGAAGCGAGCAATACTCTCTCACTGAATTTAGGTGTCTAAAATGTCGCAGTCTATTATGAGAAGTGAGAAAGTTCCATTCATTGGTATTTCCTATAGTAGATGTTATGGGTAGTGCATTGAGTTAAGTTAAGTTACATGGGTCAGGGCTCTGTTGCTCATTGCTTGTCTGGCCTTAAGTAACTAACCAATTTTTTCAGGCATCAGTCTCTTCATCTATAAAATGAGGTCCTTTCCAGCACAGGAATTGGTTTGGCAAATTTGTCAAGTGTATTGCTTTCCAACTCCTATAGGTGACCAAGGAAATCAAGGGCACTGGAACTGGGATCCATTTGATGGAGAGTTTGGTTAAGGATTCCCTCCCATATTTTGTTATTACTAGAATCTTTAAAATTCTCTAAAGTATGGCAGGCATTAAAAACAAAAAATAATAGAGGCCAAGCAGAATGAGTTGAGCTATGTTCACAGTGGCACAGTGGTAACACAACTGAAGTCACATGACTTCTCTGAGCATATGGGATTCATGTGCACCCATGATGTGGCTTGCTCAGAGTAGAGGTAGATTATGGCATGAAGTCACTGTTGGAGAGTGCTTGTCTGTTTATGCTTTCCCTCATGAAGTACATAAACAAACAAACAAACTTTAAAAAATTTAATGTGAGAGGGCCAGCAGGTGACCGACTGTGTATTTCAAATACCAGAGCTGGTAGCTTGAAAAACACATCAGGAGTGTGTTTGTCCACCCAAAATCCTGAGAGAAGAAAGAAGGAGAAGGGATTGTGGTGTGGCCATCTCTCCCAGGGAGGGGACATTTTCTCACTTTTCTTTTTTCTTCCTCTCTGTGTGTCTCTGGTGAACACATGCACTCTATAGCAAAATTATAAAGAGGAAAAAAAAATGAATGTCACATGAGGATAAATGGTTTGAAAGATGCTAAAAGAAAGTTTAAAAAAATCAAGAGAGTTAAAGCTATGGAAAACAGTCCTACACCCTTACATGTCTTGTACTTAGGCACATCCTATGCAACACTGTCTGGGAATCATGGAAAACTAAAACTGTTCCTTCAGTACACCATCTAAAAACACTTAGTGTTCCATCAGTGTTATGTGTATTTTTCTTTGGGAAATGTATTTAGACCAATATTTGTCAAGTGTAAAACCTACCCAAACATTACTGATCTCAAAAGCTTTTACCAAAATGCTTGGATAAAAATAATCACCCAGGCTACCCGCTGGGCACTTTCTAGTAATTCACTTAATTAGATCACTCGTAGTAATTACTCACTTAGAGATTTTTTTCCCTCTCACTTTGGACAGCAACCAGTCTCAAATGTGTCAACAACAATGCTTTGCTTTAGGAGGTGCTCAGTAAATATTGACTAAGTGAATAAACCTATTATCCAAGAAGATTAAAAGTTGTTTTGAGTCCTGCACCTGGTTTTCCTCCTCTTTAGATTTCAACTGCATCCTCAGAATTCCTCAGTAACCTCTAAATTTTGGAAGTTAGAAATTTCTCACAAAATCACATATCTGGTTAACCAGAAGAGAGACTGGGAGGTATTCTGACTTGTGACATAGTCTTTGTTACTTTCTAGAGCATGCGGCCTTGGAAAATGGGAGCACATCTAATGCTGAAAAAACCTAGACTTCATCAGTATCTTTCATCTTCAGCTAATTGTTCTCCCAAATGACTTTATCGGACTTATCAAAATAAAAACCCGAAACTAATTAAATTTAACAGAACTATCTGAGCAAGAGCTAGGCTCTAGAACCAGGATGCATTTCAGAGAAAAGTTGATTAAGGATGTGCCACCTCACCATGTGTGTGGGTTAGATATATAGTTACCGAAAAGGGAGTGACATGTAAGCCAAGGAAGTGACATGCAAGACCATCCTGATTGGCTGCAGTTAGTATCTGCTTTATATGGAGTTAGTTGATCTGTTGGCAGCCCATGATTGGCTGAAATTTGGCTGCTGTGATTGGCTGAGACTCAGCTGCCTAGTTACCAGGGTACATTTTTAGGTTAGGTTACAACTTCCTTGCACATAAAAAACTAGGTTGCAGCTCAGCATATAGGGAGACTGCTTTGGGCCAAAGTTTATCACCTAGGTACAGAGGCTGGTTTAGGCCAACTCCATTCAGACTCTTCAATTTTATTACAGAAATAGAAATGGCAGAGTTTTGGATAGAACCTTTAGAGTATTCTTGGGGATGGGTGAAATAACCTAAAGAATTTCATGTTCTCATAATTTTCTAGCCTATAGTTCAAGTTTCTATAATTTTTCATTATTTTCTTTATCCACTGCTTTCAAGCCACACTCTATCACCTTCTGTATTATGACTTAACTCTAACTCCTTTCTTTCTTCTTTCATTTCATTTCAGTCTTCCTTCCTCTTTCCATTCTTGCCCCCCACCTCTCTTTCAGTAACTATATATTGACCCCTTCATACTCACCAGGTACCATTCCAAGTTTGGGAAGTTTAGAAGCAAACAAAATGGACCAAATTCCTGCCCTATGAAGCTTACACACCAGGAGGGAGGAGTGACAGATATATATGTCAAATATATGTCCACATGATAGGTCATGTGGACAAATATTAGGCAAATGCATTAATAAGGAATATCAAAGAAGGGAGTCACTCCTGAATCCTTTATTCTGATTAATATTTTCATTTCTCATAGCCATTTCCTAGGTAATGACATCATAGGAGTTGGGTTTGGTGTGCCAGCTGCGATTTTTCTGAAAGACATGCAAATAAATAAACTCATAACACACACACACACACACACACACACACACACACACACACACATAATGTACCACCTAAAAATAGCTCAAGTACCATAACTGGTAGGTGTACCACTCTGGGAGAGTATTAAGCCAGTATGTGCTAAACACCCTACTTGGTGCTGTCACTGCTGTCATGAGCATAGCACAGTCTAACTCCTAAAAGTAATTTTAAAAAATTTACAAAACAGAAGAGTTAGGTAACCTAAGAGAGGCATCAAACATTGCTGTGTAAAGAAAGAAAAGAAAAGAATTAATTCTGAAGCAGCTGGCCAAAACTTCAGTGAGGAGACTCTCACAATATGAGTAGGTATTTCATAGGTGGAAAAAAAGAAAAAAAATATATAAATATATAGTTGAGTGGAACTCACTCATATCCTCTGAGCAAATCCTAGTTCCTCTGTGGCTGAGGGTCTTACTACTTTGATTTTGGTCTTTTTTTTTTTTTTCTTTAAGAAAGATTTTTGCTGTAGGGTATGTGTGCTCACCAGAAAGACAGAGACAAAAAGCAAGAAATCACAACCCAGAAGGGATGGCCATGCTGCAATCCCTTCTCTTCCATTCTCCTCTTGGAATCTGGGCGCACATGCACCCAGCTTAAATTTTAAGTCACTCCATCTGGAACTCCAGCTATGGTTAACTATGTGAAAGTCCAAAGACTTAACCATTACACTATCTGCTGGTCCCTCATTTTGGTCATTTTCAATCACTTTTCCATTATAATAAGAACATTAAAGTAGATGCCATTATGAAATGTAAGATTGCTTTAAGGGCTACCAAGTGAACATTACATTAAACCATACTCCCTCTAGCTCCCCGCACTGTGAAAAACACTGCATTAGCCCATACTCCCCTCCAGTTCCCCACACTGTGTCCTGGGAATCACTACAGATGATCTATGGTCAAGAATGCACATTAACAGTCACAAATATTTAATTGTGAAGATAATGTTTTTTCAGACATACATTCCTGTGATGATTTTTCTAGAAAGTTCTTTAATAGGAACAGGAAGAAATGAAGCTTGAAAGTTGGCTTGTGCCAGCTGGGTTCTACAGTTTGAATTCTGTTCTGCAGATAGTGAAACAAGGGATCTTTCTAAAGAAATTAACCTTGCACTACCTATGAATAAAGACCAGATTTCTAGATGGACCACTTGGGGCCTTCTCCCTTCTCCCTCCAATCCTCCACAGGTCCTAGACTCTTGAGTTTCATACTTTCATGTACTTCTGCTTGTATTTTATCTTTGCATCACTCTCATTTCACTCCTTGTGAGCTCTGACTTATCCTTCACACTAAGTTCAAGTGTGACATTTTTGGTGAAACATTCCTCTGTCTCCAGTCACTGCTGGTGCAAGTTTTATGGGGACTGAGACTAAAGTAGTAGTGTTCTTCATATCTGGGAAGGTCGAAGCTCCCTGAACCAGCCTGAGTTTGCTCTGATCTTTATATTCAGCATTTCTACTCTGAAAATGAAAGACTAACCAAACAGACCACAGGAAAAAGTCATGAGAGTCTGTCCTTACTCCACTCCATTCCACACAAGCCAGTGGGAACACACACACACACTTCCTATAGGCTCCATACACTTTCTCTGTAACACTTACCCCATTGTTTCATAACTGGCTATTCACTTGGATCCTATTGAAGGATTTTTTTTCTTATTCAAAATTAAAATATTTTTAGGTAGGAATTTCATTTTAGTGTTTTAAGTACCAAAGCACCTGTTTTAGAAGCACTTAGAAATATTTATGACTATTATTGTGAAGACATTTGATGTACAGATCTCTGCACTCTTGAGCATGAAGTTATCTGTAGTGATTCCCAAGACACAGTGAGTGGAGTTAAAGGTGTATAGTCTAATGTAGGGCTTTTCATTTGAGGAGAGGGCAGTAGCCCTTCCAACAGCCTTACGTCCCATGTTGACATTTATTTTAATGTTCTTACAATGGAAAAGTGACTCAAAAATGGCCACAGTTAAAGCAGTAAGACCCCCAGCCACAGAGAAAGTAGGATTTGCTCAGAAGATAGACTTAAGTCCCAGTCAACTACCAGACATATGC